TGCTTGTTTTCCACCGCCACCACCGGTGCCACCAGCTCGGGGAGAAGAGCGGCCAGCCCCCCTAGCTGGTGGTGGTGGTTCTTTCTTCTCGTGTGAATTGGCCCGACGGGGCTGTCGGGAAAAAACTGACGAGGCCCGGCGTGACATCTGCCGCGAGGCTCCCGCTGCAGACCCTTTCACCGAACGCTGGACCGGCGCAAGGCTCGGGACGGCCGTCCGTCAGCCAAAGAGCGCAGGCACACGCGAGATCTGCGGCAACTCGTGGGAGAGGTGATCCAGGATGCTCCTCGATGGTCCTCGCAGAGATACATTACACACGTCCGAGCGATGCCACGTGACTGGCGAACGGAGCCTTACGCTTCCTCTCTCTCTCTCTCTCTCTCGCGGGCCCAGCGACGCGCGGCGCGCGCCAGGCTCCTCGACGGCCCTCGCGGAGAAAAAGTGCACACGTCCGAGCGATGCCACGTGACTTGCGAACGGAGCCTTACGCTTCCCTGATCTCTCTCTCTCTCTCTCGCTCTTCTCTCAGAGGGGCAACAATAGGGGGACTGGCACAGGGGGGATGCATCGACCTGGAATCGGCGATACATCGCCGATAGATCGGCGATAGGGCTCCGATCGTGAGTCCGCACCTTCCTGGGCAGGTCGGGGCTATCGGGCCCCTATCGGCGATCCATGGGCGATTGGGGGTCGATGCATCCCCTCCCTGTGCCTATTCCCCCCCTGATCGTTGCCCCTGACTCTCTCTCTCTCTCTCTGTCGCCGAGCCCAGCGGCGCGCGGCGCTCGCCGGCGGCGCGCCGGTGGCGGCCGGCGACGGGGCCTGCGGGCCGCCCGTCGTCGTGGTGGGAGCGCGGCAGGGCAGACCGTCGGGACGGCGGCGACGCCGACGACGACGCCGCCGAGGACGACGACGCCCGGAAGGACCCTTGTGCTGCATCCTCGGGGGACCTTGTCTGTTCCGTCGGGGCCCTATCCGCGTCGAATCCGTGTCGACTCAATCGATAGAGGCGGATCGGCGATCGAAATACATCGGGTCAGCGGAAATCGGCAGCCGAGTCGGGCAAGTCGAATCGGAGGAAATCGACAGGCTAGAATGTCTCCACCAAGGAAACGGAGCCCAAATCGGAACCAAAGCCGAACCGAATCGGCATCGGAAGCCATCGAAATCGAATCGAATCGAATCAGAGGAATCGAAACGAGCCCGGGGGGGGGGCACGCGGACCCGAGCGTCGAAAGATCCGCAGATCGAGCGCCGAAGGATCGCTGGACTCATCTTTTTCCCGTCGGCGGAGGGGGCACTGCCCGAGCAACGAGGGAGCATGGTGGAACCCGCACGCACCCGCCGAGACCCGTCGGGCGGGGTTGGTTTGGTACGTCGGGAAGTCCCCCCGCCCCCGGGGGCTCCGTCCGTCGGGAAGCAAGAGTCGGGGGCCAATACAAGCGCTAAGTCGGGCGTGTCTCCCTACAGGGGGATTTTCGAGGAAAAATGAAAAAAATACTGACAGAATGCTCCCACATGAAGAAAAATACAGCAAAAACAAATCCTCAGACTCTTTTCTTTTTAAAGCAATTTTTGAATATTCCTCCTGTAGAGGGACGGGCCCGCCTTCATGCAAGCGGGAGTCAACCAGAACGCCGGATCTTGGGGCGCACTGGCCCAGGTCTGGGTGCATGATCCTGCAAGATCCTGCAAGGCCTGACTGACACGGGTTTGGATTGACCCGGGTCAGAAGATCCCCGAATCCGATGTGATCGATCGCCCCCGGCCCGATTCGCTTCGACTCTGTGCGCCCTCAGGACGCGCAAGGGTCACTGAGGTGTCGGAATCGACCCGAACTCCTGACGTCATGATGTTTGCATGACACGACCCCGCAGAGATCCCAACCCATTCCCGGGACCAGCTTTTCGTCCTGAGTCGTTTTTAACGGTCCCGAGTCCAAGTAAAGGGCCCCCCACGGGCCGAAAATAGCGAGAAACCTCCCGTCGTGAATTTTTGTTTTCATGACTCGAGGGGCGGATCGAGCCTGGGGCGATGGTTATCGACCGAGGCCGATTTTGTCCGGATAAGCAGGGGCCGACCGTCCCGGCATTCGTATTGACCTACCACGAACTATTCAAAGAACGGAGCCAATGTTCTTGGAACGTTAGCCCGATGTGTTACAACAAGACGGCAGACCAGACCTTAGACAACATTCCCTGGTGGGCCAACTGATGGGCCAGCCAAGACGCCTCGCCACTGCTTGACAAAAGGATTGGTGGGGTCGGACTGACCTGGGTCAATCCAGACCATGTCAGCCGGGCCTTGCAGGATCCTGTAAGACCCCGCAGGATCCTGCACCCAAACCCAGGTTCAAATCGGGCGTGTCCCCCTACAGGGGGATCGTCGACGAAAAATAAAAGAATGCTCCCAAATGGTCAACAAATGCGCAAAAAATAATCCCCATATTATGTTTTTGACTATTTTTGAATATTCCTCCTGTAGAAGGGCGGGCCCGACTTAAACCCAGCGCAGTGCGACCCTGGCCCTCCAGGATCCTGCAGGACCTGGCGCTCTGGCGGACCCCCGTGGCCGCAAGGCTGCCTTCCTCGCCGTGGCGCGCCGCTGTCGGGGCCCGGGGGGGGGGGGGGGCGCCGGACGATCCTGCCCACTTCGGGCGCCTCCCATCGCCCCTCGGAACCTCCCTTGGGGGCCCCTCGTGCGACTCGCGGGGCGCCCAAAAGGCCTCCGAGATAATGGCTCCCAGGGTGGCCGGAGAGGCCCCCGAGAGGGTCCCAGGAATTCTTTCCGAGGGCGCAGCATGAACTGGAGCAAACAACCACATGTTTGTTTCTCCACTTATTCTTCTTCTTCTTCTTCTTCTTCTTCTTCTTCTTCTTCTTCATCGTCTATACTTCGCCACGGCCGCCCACCGCGCTCTGGCCCTGCGCGCCTGGCTGCTGCTGCCCGCCGGCAGCTCATCGTCGAAATCTTCGGCGTCTGAGCGTCCCTCCTTCCTCTCGGCCTCCCCACTCCTTCTTGCACGCCGGCCAATTCGCGAATTAGTGCCCCCACCGAGCTGTTCGCTGGAGCGGATTTCGCCGCCTCGCCGCTGATGAGAAAATGTCTCCACTTCTTCTTTCCAGCTTCATCCACGGTCTTCGACCCCGGTGGGCACCGCTTGGGTTGTTCGGCGATCTGGGGGGTCCTCCGGGGCCGTCCTGGACCCCTGTCACGCCCTGTGTTATTTACATGTTCAACTTCTCTCACCATGACGCCCGCCGTGTGTGAACGGGCTTCGCACCTGGCTACATGTTCACAGATGCGACCACGTTCCAAACATGTGGAGCGGCAGCATCTGCCCCCTCTGCAGCGTTGAAGCGAACAGCTCTAGCCAAGATAGGGGTCACCAACTGCATCAAGACAAAAACCTGCTCTCCCGAAAAGGACATGCTGCATGACCTGGTGCGGGCCGCACCTCACGCGCCGGACGACGCACCGCTCTGGTAAGGGAAGAAGCAACGGCATAAATATTAAAACAAATCGGAGGTCCGCGCGGATTCCTCGGATCCGCGCTGTGGCCCCCTGGCGGCGCCTTTGGCGCCGCCCCTGGCGCGCTCCGCGCGCCATGGAGGGGGGTCCAGCGCGGATCCGACAAACCCGTGCTAACCTCAGAATTTGTATGTTTATGCCATTTTTTGTTCCCCTATCTTGGGGAGGCCAGAAGGTATCGATACCGCTACTCCCCCGCTACTCCCCAAATCTCTCCCAGGGTGCGTTTCGACCAGGATTCGAAACGAATCCGATGGTGGCGACGAGGGCATCCGAGGAGGCCCCAACAAAGGGAAAAACGAGGAAAGGGTAGCGGTATGGATACCTTTTCCTCCTCTGGCATCTGGGGCCGGGGGCCCCTACGACAACAGGCGGGCCCTCGCACACTGCGCCCGCCGCGCGCCCTCGGCCACAGGCGGCGGGTGTCGCACCCTGTGGGCGTGCGCGGCGCGGGCCCGAGAGCAACCCGCGCTCGGGCCCCGTCCCCAGCGGGGACACGCCCGCCCCCTGCGAAGGCGACCAGGCGAGGGGCCTGGGGACCCCATGCCGAGAGGGGCCTCCTCCTCCTTCTCCTTCTCCCCCTCCCTTTCTCATTCCTCCTCCTCCTCGTCCTCCCTCCTCCTCTTCCTCATCTGGAAGCCGGCCCCCATATGATCCGGGCCCCGCTGAAATCCGGGCGCGGGCGGCGGACCGGGCGAGGGGCCAGCGGTTGCTAAAAAATAGCCTTCCAGACCTATAGACCTATCTGGGCCGCCGAAAACCTCGACAAGAGTTAAGATGTCGAGGTCCTCGTGCAATCTTTCAGCCCTCCTGGAAGGTCAGGGCCCGGTTGGGGGCCCCCGACCTGGACCCCACGGGGGGGAAGCTGGGCCCCCCTGAGACCCGGGCGCTGCAATTCTTCAGCGCCGTGGGCGTCTCTGCGCGGTGTCGGGCCCCGGGGCCATCACAAACGGCTGCGGCTTGGCAGCTGCCGCAAAAATTGGCACGGGGCTCTGGATGGGATTTTTCGCGACGTTGCAGCTCTTCATGACGTCGGATCTCAGGCTTGGTCACCGACGATGCAAGGGTCCTCCTCGCGAGTCGGCGACGGCTGGCCTGGACCAAGACCAAGGCTGGCGCCGACGAAGTCCCACGACATCTCGGTCATGGCCATCGTTCTTTCCTCGTCGTTTGCGTATGCGTTGACAGGACTATTGGAAAGGCTGGGGGGGAAGCGAAACAACAAAAACAATCAAACAAATATTGGGTGTCGCCCCGCCTCCGAACGCGGAATGCAAACGGAAGCCCCTTCGATCGTTGAGATACGAAAGCACTCCATGTACAGTCATCGTGCTACTACAAGGGAGCGCTGAGTAGGGAACGAAGGGGCTCCTCTGCATACAACGAGCCTCGGCCACGAGTAGGCTCGCCGGCCCGGATCGAAGGAGCGGCCCGGAACCGGGAACCCCCCCCGCCCTCAGTCCGACGTGGTCGTTATCTCGGCGTCCTGACTGTATGCTCGGATCTGCAAGTCTAGACACAGCATACCTCATGCCAGCGAAGCGGTCTGGACGGCTGCTTGCCCGCGTGTTTCCTTCTCTTGGTCCGTCTGCGCGCGCGGCCGCTATTTCATCGGCCCGCGCGTGCGTGGCTTGTCTTTTCGTGCCCTCCTTTCTTGTTGCAAGAGGGAAAAGATTTACACTGCCCCATGCCTGCAGTCCGCGGAGCACCTGGTCTGGTCCAGGTGTTTCGAAACACCTGCCGCTCCACAAAATGCAGGACTAATCTATACATTTAGATATGAGGCAAAGAAACGGTCTCACAAAAAATGTATTAGGCACGCCAGAAGTACACTCAGGATTCAAGCCTGTCGCCGAATCATCGTGCACGTCCTGCACTGAAAGATCTGTCCCGTATGAGGTCAAAAATGATTGGCCTGGCACTGCGTCCGATCTTGTGCCTTCTCATCGCGACGTCCCTGCCCCCGAACTTGCACTACAAACTAATTCGGACATCTCAGAGGCTCTACCCCGAGGTTGTGTCCATGTAAAAAGAAAAAGGCATGGTGGAGGTCCGCGAGGATTATTGGACTTACGAGCCAGATGTACCGCCAGGAGGGGGCGTTTTTGTTCCTGGTCTTCGCATGTAGGAGGCTCTACCCCGAAGCGCGTTCGGTGATGCCATGCAGAGGCCTGCTGTCGTGTGGGCATCGGCCACTGCCAGCACCGTCGCTGCCATCAGTCGCTGCTGCTCGCATCGTCACTGCTGCTCCCACCTTCGCCGTCTTCGAAGCTTTCGTGAATCGTCTCGCTCTTATCTCTTGCCATCGTGGGATTAGCGTCGTTGAGCGCATTCCAGATCTCATTCTGAGTATTCACCCTGACCATGTCCATGGCAATCTCTTCCTGAGTCTCCTTTTCATTCGCATCAAACTTCTTCTTTGGCACACGTGAGACGCCCATGCGCTGCGACGTGCCCAACACTGCGAACACGGCAGCCAAGCTGAGATAGCCAATCATGAAGGCCGCCTGCGAGACGCCGAATGCACCCTTAGTGCCTGTGAAATTCTGAAACGTAAGATCCGCACGAGGTTGGTGGACAATACCGAAGGTCGACAAGAACGCTCCCACAAGCGCCCAAATCGAACACTGCATGAAATTGGCATTGATGGCGAAGACGACCATTGCTGTCAGGATGATCGCAGATAGCAGGGAGCCATAGCCGAGAGCCATCAGCGAGGGACTCCCTGCCCCTGGAGGCATCTGAGAGTTCGCCCAGTCTGCGATGGCTGGCATCTTAGGGGAACGGAACATTACATAAACAGAGAACTCGGAGCTCCGCGCGGATTCCTTGGATCCGCGCCGTTCCCCCCTCCCTGGCGAGCGGAGCGCGCCCGGGGCGGCGCCGGAGGCGCCGCCAGGGGGGTCCAGCGCGGATCCGAGAAATCCGCGCGGACCTCCGAGTTTGTATGTTGATGTCATTGTTCGTTCCCCGACATGAGTCCGATGATAGCTGCAGGGAGGTGCCGATTCTCGATGTTGCCGAACGTGTCCTGGTTGATCGCGAGCCCAATGAACAGCACGATCGGCGCGATGGCATACGGAGGGACGAGCGCGGCCACCATCGAGAACTGCCCGGTAACGCACATGAAGCAGAACAGCGCGCAGTTGAAGAAAGAATAACTCGCTGGCCCAATGGGCCAGAGGCGTGCTGAGATCTCTGGTTGTGTTGCTCCCATCGCGCTTAAGGACCATCTCCCAGAAATAATTTCGAGCACCCAGAAAAGTATCGAAACTGTGTCGGACGAGTATCGCCTCCCAGGGCCAGACACGTGGAAACCTTCAAGTTTTGGTACTTCCTTGGTGCGCGAAATCCCACCAGTCCTCTGGGCGTAGGTGGTCTAGGGAGCTTCCTCTTCCAATTCCCTTCTTCCCCGTCGGGGAGGGATTTATCACTGTTCCCTATTCATAAACACCCCCTCCCCCACCTGGCCTGCAGCCAACCCAGAATCATGCGGGCCCCCCCCCCCCAACATCCCTGCCAACAACACAATACAAAATGCACATTGCGGGGCCCACCCTGCCAACACCCTCCACAATCCCTGTCCACAAAAATATACGAAGTGCACTTTGCAGCAAAATCTGGGCAGTGCGCTGGCGCCCTTGGAGCACGTGGTGTTGTTTTGCTGACAGGGATGGCGGGGCACCCCTAATGAAACCACTTTGTGCAGGACCACCCTCCGTGTCAAAAACAATGCAAAGTGCACGTTGCAACAACGTCGTGGGCGTTGTGCTGGCCAACCGCGATCACTTTGTATTGTTTTTGACCGGGACGGCGGTGGTGCTCGCATGATGATGTTTGCTATGCGCAAGCCCAGAACAATGCTGGCGCCCCCCACGTCAGCACCTGGACTATGCGGACGGGGGGGCATCACGTTTTTTTGTTGTTTTGTTTTTGTTGTCTCTCTCTCTCTCTCTCTCTCTCTCTCTTTTTTCTTACAAGGATGGCGCACCACCCGCATGTGGAGCCCGCGGCGAGCGTCGCGCCCCTGGCGTCCGCTTTGGTTCCCAATGGCTGTCCATCCAGTGGCGACCCCTGGCTATGCCGAGACTCGGATGCCACTTATATGGCGGGGGGGCGGGTGGGAGTGAGCTAAACGGCTTGCGTGCGGAGAGGGTGTCTTGACTCCTCCCCCCACCCCCCTCCCCTGGACCTGGACGGGGGGGCCGCGACGCGTTGGAGCGTCCAAAACGGTTCCGGCGAGAAAACGGATCTCATTTGTTCAAAAACAGTTGTGACCCCATTTTGGCATCTTGGGGGGGCAATGCTAATTAAAACTCTCCCTTTTTTTTGATCGATGTCCTCCAAGATGGCCCCAAGAGCGCTCCCAAGGCTCTCAGAAGCGCTTCAGCAGGGCCCCAAGAGGCGCATGGGAGGCCCCAGGAGGCCCCAAGAGGCGCCCGAGAGGCCTCCAAGAGGCTCCCAAGAGACCCCCAATGGGCACGAAGCATCCAAGACCCTCCAAGAGGCCTCCGGGTCAGCCAAGGGGCCCCCAGGACGCTCCAAGAGGCTCCTCTGCGTGCTGCCCACTTCCCTGATCGAGGCAACTCCTCCGGGCATCGTTTCTGGATGGGCTGGTGGAGTTACTTTTTGAATCGCGGCCCGCAAGGAGAAGTCCAGAGGGCGGTGTGACCGAGGCTGGGGCACAGCGACAGATAATTGGCGCGACATCGCGCAGAGTGCACCTGCAGATAATTAAAAAGAGACGACCACGGTTCAACCCGCGGGTGGAAGCGAACCGAACGCGAGCCCAGCCGCTGAGCATGTGTCGGCAGAAGAGGGCAACCGCGGTGGGGAGAGCAGAAGCCCTGGTGCCACCACGCGGACCCCGAAAGCCGCTGAGCGTGTGCCAGCAGAAAAGGGCCAGGCGGGAACAGGTCGGACCCGCAGGTGGAGTACCGACTGCCAGGAGGCGCGAGGAGAGATGGACAGCAAAACCTAGGGGGAAGCGTGGCAAATCCACTCACTTGACTCCCAGTGCGTGGGCCAGCGTGTACGCGGGCCACACACAAGCCACCGGGGGGGTTCGTGCCACAGAGCATACTTTTCACGGCCCGCACTCCCAGTCAATGCCTGGGAAAGGTTATTCAGCCGTCCACAGGGGAGGCCCGCGGTGGCCGCAGGTGCCATGACGGTGTGGTGCCTCCGCTCCCAGGAGGCACAAACTGTGGCCAGAGCCAACATCTAGCTAGACGGCAGGGCGGTGCCTTTGGCCGTCGACCCTGTCCGCCGCGGGCCGGCAAGCGGCCAAACTATGAGTCCAAAAATGCCGACCGCACTGTCTACACGCCCATGTGTATGGGGGTCAGAAGTGGTAGTCGCTCCTGCGAGCGACGACGTGGAAGTCACTGCACGTTGCCGACTCCAAAGGATGGGGCACATGGAGGGGCCGCGTGGTGGAGTTACGCGAAGCGTCTAGAATTATTTCTGGTGGTCATAACTAAAATAGGTTGGAATCTCATACTCTCTGGTAGCGGATTTGCAGCTCTTCTAATTCGCGCGTTCCTCTTGGGCTGCCTTGTGGCATTATTGGGGGCCTCCTGGGCCGCGTCGGGCCGTCGCGCGCCCGAAAAGGCGGTGGCGCTCAAATGCTTCAGACACCCTGGGAACATAAGTACTTATTGGCTCTCTGGGTCTTCTTCGGGGTTCGTTTGAAGCGCCGTTTGGGTGTTCTAGAAGCCTCCTTCATGGACATCTTGCGGCGCTCTTGGACTGTCTCGGACCCGCGTGGCCTCGCTGCAGGCTTCGATGAAGGCTCATGGAACTCCTGGACGCCCAGACAAAAAAAAAAACATCCCTGACCCAGGGTCGGGGGCGTTCAAGAGGGTGGGGGCGCAAATCATGGCGGGCGGCACGTGCGCGGTCAAAGGGGGGGGGGGGCCGGGGTATTGAAATAAGAAAAAGTGCCGTGAAATGTGGGGCGACATCATGGCTCCCGCCATGAGATCCCCCACCCTAATCATCACCCCCCTCTTGGCCGCCCCCGACGCAAGGGTGGCCGGGCTGCGCCCAGGCTGCGCCCGGGACACTTTTCGCCCAGGGGACCCAGGCGGCCCAAGAGGCCCCTCTTTCTTCCCAAGGTGGCTCGAGACGTCTCAAGTTCTGTGCGTGTGAAACCATCACAGCTGCATTTTGCGGCGGTATTCGCCGTTCCTGCAGCCAAGGGTCTGACATGCCCCTCCATGTTCGGCTGCCAGCACACGGCCCTGTCGTCTCTGTCCAAGGACTCCGCAAAGTCGTCTGGGAGAGGCTCTATCGCCCCCGAGCGTAGCATCTCCGTGCATGCGTTGGGGGGGGGGCATCCCGAGGAGGTGACGAGTGCAGCGGAAGCGCTGCCGGAAGTCACGTTGGCACGCTGGGCAAACGCCGTCCGCCTTGACGTACCTCTAGGTCGGGCATGTCCCCCCACAGGGGGATTTGGGACGAAAAATCAAAACAACAAAAATATGCTAACGGAGTTCCTCACATAAAGATGTTACGGGGTTCCATTGCTTCTTGACTGCGCTCTGGTGGGGCCTCCCTGGAGGGGTGGGAGGGGCACGAAACCTGATGAATAATATGGTGTGCGAATACCCTGCCCGCTCTGGTGGGGCCTCCCTGGAGGGGTGGGAGGGGCACGAAACCTGATAAATAATATGGTGTACGGATACCCTGCCCGCTCTGGTGGGGCCTCCCTGGAGGGGTGGGAGGGGCACGACACCTGATAAATAACATGGTGTGCGAATACCCTGCCCGCTCTGGTGGGGCCTCCCTGGAGGGGCGGGAACGGCACGAAACCTAATAATAAAATATGGCGTGCGAATACCCTGCCCGCTCTGGCGGGGCCTCCCTGGAGTGGCGGGAGGGGCACGAAACCTGATAAATAATATGGTGTGCGAATGCCCTGCCCGCTCTGGTGGGGCCTCCCTGGAGGGGTGGGAGGGGCATGAAACCTGATAAATCATATGGTGTGCGAATACCCTGCCCGCTCTGGCGGGGCCTCCCTGGAATGTTGGGAGGGGCGCGAAACCTGATAAATAACATGGTGTGCGGATACCCTGCCCGCTCTGGTGGGGCCTCCCTGGAGGGGTGGAGGGGCACGAAACCTGATAAATAATATGGTGTGCGAATACCCTGCCCGCTCTGGTGGGGCCTCCCTGGAGGGGTGGGAGGGGCACGAAACCTGATAAATAACATGGTGTGCGAATACCCTGCTCGCTCAGGCGGGGCCTCCCTGGAGGGGTGGGAGGGGCACGAAACCTGATAAATAACATGGTGTGCGAATACCTTGCTTGCTCAGGCTGGGCCTCCCTGGAGGGGTGGGAGAGGCACGAAAACTTATAAATAACATGGTGTGCGAATACCCTGCTCGCTCAGGCGGGGCCTCCCTGGAGGGGTGGGAGGGGCACGATACCTGATAAATAACATGGTGTGCGAATACCCTGCCCGCTCTGGTGGAGCCTCCCTGGAGGGGCGGGAGGGGCACGAAACCTGATAAATAGCATGGTGTGCGAATACCCTGCTCGCTCAGGCGGGGCCCCTCTGGAGGGGTGGGAGGGGCACGAAACCTGATAAATAACATGGTGTGCGAATACCCTGCTCGCTCAGGCGGGGCCTCCCTGGAGGGGTGGGAGGGGCACGAAACCTGATGTATAAATAATACCCTGCCCGCTCAGGCGGGGCCTCCCTGGAGGGGTGGGAGGGGCACGAAACCTGATAAATAACATGGTGTGAGGAAAGGCATGGTATGGTATGGGATGATGGATGCATGGTATGGTATGGTAAGGTATGGTATGGAGTGGCATGGTATTGGTATGGTACGATACAGTATGGGATGGTGGAGGAAGCGGGAGGAGGAGGAGGAGGAGGAGGAGGAGGAGGAGGAGAGGATGTTCTGGGAAAACAAGAACCCCACTCAGGACGTGGGGAAAAAAACTACCCCGAACATGCTCAAACCTAGCCAAACAAATTATCAAAGCATCGTCCCCCTATTATTTGTTGGACTATGTTGGGGTCTTCCTGCTGTAGAGAGACAGGCCGGACTTAAAACGTGCCGCCTCGCTTCGTCCCCGACGCCGTGAGCGGCGACGAGCCGGTGCTGCGCGGGGCCCCTCACGAGAGGCGCCGCGAGGCTCTCGAGAGAGCCGCCGCGAGGGGGGCCCCCGAGGCCGCCGGCAGGCCCCCGAGAGGCCCCGAGGGGCCGTTGGTACAGGGCACGAGGAGGAAGCGCGGTGACACAACACAATCCGAGAACTCCGTTGAGCACGCGCATGTGCTCGCAGCACATGCAAGCACGATTCACAGCACAAAAACGACGGGAACGTCCAGAAAACGAGAGGCCCCGAGCGGCCCCGAGCAGCGGATCCCCCGAGAGGCCCCCAGGATCTGTCTCTTCTCAGCGCAGCACCGTCTCGCAACCAGAAAGCCCCCGGAGATCCCCAGGAATGCGGCCAAGCCGCCCCCCAGGAGGCCTCCCAGAAGACCTCACGCCTCTCAAAGGGGCGTCTTGCCCACGACCCGCTTTGGCCCCCAGGAGTGCCCCAACAAGCCATCGAGAGGCCTCCTCCTCCTCCCCCTCCTCTTCCTGCTTATCGCTCGCCACTGGCACGCCACCAGAGCAGCAGTGATGCAGTATGGGCCGGCGGGATGAACGAAGCGATTGAATATATTGTCCCTCCCGCGCGCTTGAGTGGCTTGTGGCTGCAGAAAACGCACGTGCCGAAAGGGGACCCAAACAAAGCGGACACCATCGTCGTGCATCCATCGACGACCAGCGTCTCCTTCACGCTGTACGGGTCACCCGCCTCGTGCGCATTGTACACAGACACCAATGTGTTGATAGCGCCGACAAAGGCTACAGGCAGAATGACCGAAATGTTTTCCAGTGCCACCTCTGGTATCTCAAAGAAGGCCTGCGTATCCAAAAGCCTAGGCGTATAGAAACGGAAGATCGAGGCGGCATTCTTGACCGACTCCCAAGTGCCGCCATCCTTGTCGACCTTGTCCTCTGGCCACCCTGAGCTGAACACCCATCCCATGAAGGCGCCAGCCAACATGATCATGACTGCGTTTGGAATCGGGTAGAACTTGACCCCGACGAAGTAACCCAACACCTAGAACACCAAATAACTAAGGAAAATTACAATTCTGGAGACCCGCGCGGATTTCTCGGACCGATGCTGGGCCCACATCTCCAGAGCGCGCCGGGGGTGGCGCCAAAGGCCCCGCGAGGGGTGCGGAGAGAAGGCCAGCGCTGGCGCAAGAAGTCCACGCGGGCCTCCAAATGATCTACGTTTGTACAGTGTCTCCGTTCCCGAACACCGCAGTGGCCAGTGGCACAAAGCCCAAGTGCCCCGCGGCGAAGACCTTCATCAGCTGGGCGATGCCCAAGTGCGTCAGGCCGACGCCAGCTAATGCGATCAGCAGCGCTGGTTTCGGGGCCACCTTCATGTGTTGTTGTGCGCGTGGGTCTGTAAGAACATATACATCACTTCATAGGCAATTGTATGCAAGTGTGTATGCTTCTATCTATATTCTCAAATGCGCTTACGTATGTGTGTGGGCATATGCGTGCAGTTGCTAACCTGTGCAGTTATGATGTTTGCAGATCTTGATACCCAACCTCACAAGAACACATGTTGGAAGAACCTTCATGATGGCCGGGCCAGCGAACCCGACCAAGGCAGCAATGAATCCAGCGGCAAGGTTCGCCACGGTGGTCACCTTCGTCGCGGAAGCGCGCAAAAGAAAGACTCAGAATGAGACGCATCTCTGCTGGCACGACGGATCAGGGTCATGAAATGAGGGTAGCGGGTCCACGACAACTGGGCTTGCATCGGACTTCTTTGTCATTTTGAATGGCTTTCGGCGGACCCGAGTGAAACCCCTGATCTTCCTAGTCGCCTTCAAAATCAGTAGTTTGCTGAACCAAAGTCTCAACATTGTTTCCGACGCGACATTTCGTCATCAATAGATTGTAATGCGCCCTGAACTTGGACACGTTGGCCTGCACATTCCGAACTTCGCCCATCCCATTCCGCAATGCCGCCCCATTCTGGCCAGCTTGCCTGCCCCCCAATCGCGACCCCACAGTCACCCTGACTCCCTGGTGGCACTGCTCACTGTGACAGCACGTGCTAGACTCGTGTTGTCTGACTTCGCTAGCATAACCACTGATCAGATCCGCCACCGTACCGCAGGCTCGGAATGGACAAGTCCCTCTGAGTTCTCCATGTTGGATTAAGTAAAAAGCCTCTTGGGGCGCGCACGGGCGCTCCGTGTTTTCTCCCGCGTGGCCATTCTCCCCGAGGCCTCGGGACGGACGGCGTGCCTGTTCAGTTCCCACTTTTGGGGATTGTTACTGTTGGTCTTCCTTGTCTGATGCTCCGCTTGATTCTTTTCGGGGGCGGTCAAGAGGGGGGCGTCTCAGAGGGGGGGGTGCAAATCATGGCCGGCGGCACGTGCGCGGCCCAAGGAGGGGCCAGGGACGTAATGCAATGAGAAGAGCCGCCATGAAATCTGGGGACATATCATGGCCCACGCCATGATATCCACCCCCCCTTAGTCATCACCCCCCTCGTTGCCGCCCCCAATTTTTAATCGAAGAGCCCCTCCCGGGGCTCGCACCCTGTTTTTTAGAAAGGGAATTAATTGGCTGGCCACGTGGCCCCCGAACCACAACAACGTATTCGGCCTCGCGCACCCGCGCAGGGCCTCCTCACAGTGTGTGCAAGGATCGCGCTCTCGCGCGGGACTTCCTCGCCGCCTACTCACAAAGCGAAACCATGACACTCGGGCATGACGCTCTCGCCCTGGACTTCCTGACGATCTCCTTGGGATCGCGCTATCGCTCGAGACTGCCTAGCGGGTCATATAAGACTGACGCTTCAGCGACCCGCCCGCTCGACCTGGCCGCTTGGGCCCGCCCGCCCGCCAAGGTCCTCCCGCCCGACCCGCCCGTCTGGTTGTGCCACTGGTTTTCATGCTCCCATCCCCTGAGAATCTCGCTCATGTTCCGTTCTGCTCCGTCCCCCGTGTCCCGTCCTTCCATCCTCCCTCTCGTCCCCTGGGGCTGCACCAACTACACAGAGCAGGTAAGGTAGGTAACCCCCCCCCCAAAGGGACACGATCGAAGACGAAGAGGGCGGGTATCGAAGGTTTGGGATATACGTTCTGAATGGCATGCGAGCAAATAAAAAACAAGCATTCTTAAATTGATTGCTGTTGCTGAATTCTCATGTCGAAGGTCAGTGAATGTGCTCCTCCTGGGGTTCGCACCCTGTTTTCTTAGAGGGGAAGGTCTTGTGCATCAGACTGCGCCCCCGCCACCGTTGTGCAACAGCAGCGGCTCCCGCCTGATACGCCCTGACAATTTAATCCAAGTCGCGCTCTCGCGCAGGACTTGCTGGCAGTGGACATGGATACACTCAGCCTACTCAGGGCCCGAACATATCTAGATGCACCGCCTGCAGGCCCCCCAGGCGCATGGGCAGGTCCCCGCGTTGGAATGGTGGCCTTCCCGAAATCAGCATTTGGTCGGGCGGGTCCCCCTACGGGCGGTTTTTTGGGTGAAAACTGCAAACTAGTCCAGCAATAATCCAAAATATAACAATATACTAGAAATATCGTCCCCATACTATTTTGACATGTTTTTGCATATACCTCCTGTAGAAAGACAGGCCCGACTTACGATCAGCAACCCCTGGGCCGCAACGAGCCATGTGCCATGCCGGGCTGACTGGGCGGGGTACAGACAGAGCTCCACGACGGCACGGGGGCGGGAGGGATGCCGCGGCCACGGCGAGGGCGCCGGGATCCGCTTGTGGCGGACGCTGCCGCGGCAGTCTTCGACACGACCGGGACCCTCCTCCAGGAACAGGCGCGGCTGGCTGGGGTCCTGCCCACCCAGACCCCCGACGTCATGACTTTTCCATGACGCGACCCCCAGAGGTCTGGACCCATTCTCCGGGACCGGCTTCTCATCCCGAGTCGGTTTTTGGCGGTCCTGAGGCCCGTGAAGGGCCCCCAGAGAGCGAAAGTAGCGAAAAACCTTACGTCGTGACTTTTTCATGACTCGAGGGGGTCCTGCCGACCTGGGCGCTGGCCCCCGACACCGCGCGCAGCGTCGTCACCCTGGAGCGATGGAGGGTTCTGCCGATGGCGCCGGATCGCTCGACGTCGGCCGGCCGACCCAAGGACCACGCGCGGCGCTCCACCTGGAACGCCCGCGCTGGGGCCAGGTCGGGCACGTCCCCCCTGCAGGCGGATTTTTGGACGGCAAGTGTTTCAAACGTCACACATGCAAAAATAGCACAAATATGTATGATAAAAACAAAAAGCCGCCCCAGACCATGTTTTTAACGATCTTGGACTGCTCCTCCTGTAGAGGGGCGTGCCCGACTCAACGCTGGGGTCGCCGCCGCCTCGACACATCACGGCACGAGCCTGCTGCTCCCTGGGGACAGATGCATGCCTCCGCCCTGATTGCGCCCCACTCTGGACCGCCCGCCCGAGGCGAGAGATAAGTATCTCCCCCCCCCGGCATGCGGAGGATTTCGCACGGATTGAACTCAGACCGGGTATGCCATCCTACAGGCGGATTCTGGAAGGAAACAGCAAACACGGTCAAACCAGATTCAGAGATCTGCAAGAAGTAGTCGAAACATCGTCCTCTGACTATTTTGTTGACTATCTTTGAATGTTCCTCCTGTCGAGGGACATGCTCGACCCAAGGTTAAACATGATGAACGATGAATCAGAATCTAAATCACCCAGAGGAATCATAAGATTGGATCTTACGCTTCAATTCCCGTCTGTGGCACTGCAAACGGGAAGCCATCATGTTTCATATTTGGACCACCCTTCTTCGTCGCCTTCCAAGCGTAATTGATGCCTTCCTCCCATTCCATGCCAGCCTCCTTAGCATCGCGTGCAGCCACGGCCATGATGTTGTAGACGAACGCAAATGCTGCAGCAGTGTTGACGCCGTACGGCATGCACATGTGGTCGCTCCGGCCGTCTACCCTCATCATGCGAATCGCCATCCAGGCATAGTAAAAATTACCGAATATCATGGTGATGCACATGCCATTGAGGATCCTGCCGTAGATGAGGCCCGAAATGAAGTCGTTCATCTGCGCCGTATCCACGCCTTCGTCCCCCTTCCAGGGTGATGACAATGCTCGGGGGCTGCCAAGATGGGGGCGTCCAAGATGGGAGGGCGCAAATCATGGCCAGCGGCATGTGCGCGGCCCAGAGGGGTGGCCAGGGACGTATTGAACTATATAAGAGAAGGCGCCATGAAATCTGGGGAGATATCATGGGACCCGCCATGAAATCGACCTTCCCTTAGTCATCAGCCCCCTCTTGACCGCCCCCGAAATACACCACGCATCCCCCCCACGACTGCGACGATCGTACCCGTGATCTGAAAGAATAAGTTCAGGCCACAGTCGATGATCGAGGAAGAAACACACGCGTGCGAACAGAACAACTGCCGGAAATCCGCGCGCGGTTTTCTCCCGGTTCGGCGCTGGACCCCCCCTTTCTCTGGCGCGGTGCTAGAGCGCCAGGGGCGGCGCCCAAGTTGGACGCAAATAAATGGGGTGGGCGAGAAAAAGACGATTCCAGAAACCCTGAACCCAAAAACGTTTTCATCTCTTTTGGGCGCATTTGTTACTTCCGCCACCTTCCACCGCCCTTCCGCCGGCTTCCGCCAGCGGAGGCGGCCTCGTTTCACTTCGGCCACCCTTCCGCCGCCCTTCCGCGGCGGAAGAGATGATAACTCCTTCGATCCTCGCAGGCAAGGCGATTTTTGGAACGCCTCAGCTGGTGGAGGGGGGGAAGAAAGGGGCGACTCGGGCCCTCAAGGCCCTCTTCTGGGCCCCAGCAGGCCTCTCCAAGGGCCCATTGTAGGGCCGCGCTTCGGCAGCCCTCGCCGTCCCCTCATTTATCGCCCCACCCATTCGCGCGCCCTCCAACCCAGGAGCCGCCCAAGGGGGTCCTGCGCCGACCCAAGCACTCCGCGCGGACTCCTCCTCCTCCTCCTCCTCCTCCTCCTCCTCCTCCTCCTCCTCCTCCTCCTCCTCTCCCCCTCGTTTCCCCTCCCCCTCCTCCCCCTCCCTGTCTGCTTCTGCAGGTGTTTCCTCTTCGAGATGTCGCCTACCGCCGGGGCGACGGGGAGGAGCCCGCGGACCTTGCAGCATCGAATTGGCATCGAAGCGGCAAAATCGGATCGGACCGACATGTGCGTCGGATCGGGCTGCATCGGCACGGAGTCGGAATCGAATCGGATCGGCCACGCCTGTTTTCCACCACCACCACCACCATAAGTTGGAGGGGGGAAGGAGGTGGAGGATGAGGAGGAAGAAGAGGAGGACCCCCTCCCCCCTCAAACTTATGGTGGTGGTGGTGGTGATGGAAAATAGGCACAACAGGATCGGCCACGCGGCCAAGCCACCTTGCACGGCAACGCCAGGCAACCATCGGGCCGCATCGGAGTGTCGGCACATCGGGATCGGATCGAATCGGGCCAGCCACCATCGACATCGAATTGTGTCGATTGGACCGAAACCCAGACCCCCGACGTCATGTTTTTTTCCATGACGCGAACCCAATAAATACGCATGGACCCATTTCCAGGAACTGGTTTTTCATCCTGAGTCGTTGTTTGACGGTCACGAAACCAGGTAAGGGTACCCAGAGGCCGAAAATAGCGAAACGCCTTCCGTCGTGACTTTTTCATGACTCGAGGGGGTATGGGAATAAACCCTGCCTTGGCACGCTTGGACTTCTTCGGCGGCTCGCCGGCCATAACCGGAATCTCGCAGACGGTCGGGCGGTGCCCCTTCGGCCGTAAGAAGCCCCCGCTGCGCGCACTCGGGCAGCCTGGATCCAAAAAAATCTGCGCACGCGCGCGCGGGAGTGAGCGATCGACGTCGGCGTCGCAGGCGGCACAGTGAAGATAACAACTAAAGGAAAACGGCCAGCGAAGTACAACCGAAGAGCTTGACGAGCACGCGCGGGGGCTCTTGTCGCATGGCGTCGACAAAGAGCAAGTGCAACAGCTGTGGTTTCAGAACAGCTGTGGCTGAGGTCGAGGAACACCAGAGTCCACCACATGAGCATGAACTTCCCGAGGTCCGCGCGGATCTCCTGGACCAGTGCGAGACCCCCCTGGCGGCGTCTCCCGCGCCGCGACTGGCGCGCTCAGCGCGCTAGGGAAGGGGTCCAGCACAGATCCAAGATATCAGCGCGGATCTCCAACAATTCATGTTTATGTAACTGTTGTTCCGCCCCCGCTCTTCTTCTCCCCCCCCTCCCCCTCAGAGGCACAACGTTTGCTCTCCGTTGCGCGCGTGCTTGTTCAGGCCACTGCGCTGTAGCCTCGCCCGTTTACGGGCCAACCCATGTGGTTTGATCGGGCCTCTGTCTGTCTGTCTGTCTGTCTGTCTGTCTGTCTGTCTGTCTGTCTGTAATCGTTCCTCGATTGGGGCCCTGGGGTCGGGCGCACGCTAGCATACACTACGGACCCGTGGACCTGGCGCGCGGGCGCCAGATCCGTGGATCAGTGAAACACTACCCCCGAAACTCGAGCCGAGCGAACGCCCGAACTGGCGACGGAGCGCGCGAATTCCGTGCGGGGTCGGGACACGTCGCGGATCCGCGCGCCTCGATCCGTGTTGGCGCTTCCTCGGCTTCAGGCCAGCCCCTACTTGCATCGCCGCGGGGGGTGCTAAGTGGACAGAGGGTTATGAGTGGATGATACTGTGGGTTCCATTTGGCCTGGCACAGCTCAGGGGGGTAGAGATTCGGGCTGAATGGGCTCCGCCCACTTAGAGAAGTTATCGAACCCACCTAAACCCCTTAGGGCACGCCAGATATGTAGCGCACTAATAAGCTAGGTTACGCAGATGTAAGCTACCTTGGCATCCACTTGTACCCCCCTATCTCCTTAGCGGCCACCGCTGTGATTCCAATCATGTTGCCCTGCGGCTTGCGGGTCACGACCCGGGTCTTTGGTGCACGTTCGTGACAAGCCAGGCCCCCCCCCTGATGCCTCTCGGCAAGTCGCAGCTGCTGAAACGCACCTCGAGGCTGGACATCCACCGAGAACCTTAGAAAAACGCCCCCGAAAACCGTTCCTCGAGACCACGACGCTGGCTCTGTCCAGAGTGCGACGCTTCTTCGACGGGGGCGCCCAGAACGTGGCCGAAATCGGCGCGCTCCCCCCCGCAAAAATGGGACGCCCGAAGCGTGCACGGGAAACATGGGCACGATACTGCACCCAGCAACACATGTTGTGGACTACCGTCAGCGACCGCTGTGTTGCCAGGCGACTTCTTGCTTCAAATGGACAACGCCCGCGGCGACACCGACAGCGACTTCGGTGCAAACTGGACTGGAGCTTCTGTTGCTACCCCTTCTTTCAAAGTACCCACTCCGATCGCATCGACACAGAACGCCGACCACCGCTGCCCGAAGGTGGTGGACCTCCGCCGGCGCCCGCGGGCACGCGCCTGCGGCCGAGCGGAGGAGGGGTGCCACCCCTTCGAGCCTCAGCGGACCGTCCCGCGGTGGGATGAGGTGCGGCGCGGGTCCCCGTCTGCGAAGGAGACCCGGGCGGGTCCCGAAAGCATCAGGGCGTGAGGCTATTGGCCGTGTTGAGCCGTCGGGGGCCCCTGCCCGGGCCCTGGGACCGTCAACTGACGACTCGAGATGAAAAGCGGGTCCCTAAGAAGGGGTCGGGACTTCCGGGGACCCCATACTGACATCGCACGTCTGGGAATGGGTCCTCGAGGAAACCAGGAAATCCGATCGACATGGGCGTCGGACCTGGCTGCCTCGGAATGTTGCGCGCAGTCGGGAGCTGCGTAATGAAGCAGGATGAGGGTGGTGTGGCGGGTGAGCAGGAGGAGGAACAGAGAACAAATGATGAATCTGTGGACGGAGGACGAAGGCGAGCATCAACAGCACCAAGAGTTGGAGTGGAAAGACCGGGAGAAACAGGAGGATCAGGGGAAGGCCGAGGAGGGAGAATACGGAGGGCGACAACGATGAAAAAGAACTCGGATCCAGAAAAGTGGTCCATGTTGGGGCGAGAGGGCCATTCTGAACGACCGGAGCCGATCCGAAAATGCGTCCCTCGCTGCAGCGGGAACGCCATGGGAATACCGAAAGCCATCGAAGTGCAAACTACGATACATAAACCGTTGCTTCAAATCCTGCGTGCGAGGAACAAAACATGTACGCGGAGAGGGGGGAACATCTTACGCACAGAGTCTGGGGAAATAAAAATAAGAAGAGTAGCACAGCAGGAGCCCGACCACCAGAAACCCTCCACAAGACACCCGAACCCAGAACCCCAGGACGTCCCTGGATATTTCTGGCCTGGGCACGTCACGTCTTCCACAGCAGAAGCCATCGACATCCAGGAGACCCAGGGCACCCCTGGAGGCACGCCCCCCCACTGCAGGCGCAACACGCGATCGCTCCAGGAGGCGGGCGGAGCGCGCGCGGAGAGGCGTGGCGCGGGGGAGGCGGCCGTTGCTTCGAAGGCCCCTGGCCCTGTTCGAAGCCGGGCCGCCTTCTGAGAGGGCCGCGGCCACCTGGCGCAACCCCTGTGCGCAGGCCGCCACCAAGGAGGAGGGGGGCGACCCGGGCGACCCTCCTCGGTCCTTCTCCTCGGCCCTCCTCGGCCCTCCTCCTCCTCCTCCTCGATCCTCATCCTCGATCCTGCTCCATCGGTCCTCGGCCCTCATCCTCATCCTCCTCTTCCTCGGCCCTCCTCCTCGGTCCTCCTCGATCCTCCTCATCATCCACTCTTCTCCCTGGTTCTCGGCCCTCCTCTCCACCTCCTGTGGAACCCTCGATCCTCGACCCTCTTCCTCCTCCTCAGCGTTGCCCTCGTCGACCCGCGAGGAGGAGCAGGAGGAAGAGGAGCAGGAGGAGGAGGAGGAAAGGGAGGAGGAGGAGGAGGAGGAGGAGGAGGAGGAGGAGGAGGAGGAGGAGGAGGAGGAGGAGGAGGAGGAAGAAGAGAACGAGGAAAAGTCGCGACGCGCGCGGATCAACGACGGGCCCCGTTGCCGTGCAGACTCGGGGGGCGCTCCGTCGCCGGACATCGGGCGGCGCTGGCCTCCCGCTTCGGCGGGGTATCCCTCCCCGATGCGCGGACCTGGCACCCGGGCGCCAGGTCCAGGGATCCCCCTGCTCCTGCTGCTCCTGCTGCTCCTGCTGCTCCTGCTGCTCCTGCTGCTCCTGCTGCTGCTCCTCCTCCCTCCTCTCCTCCTCCCCTCCTCCTCCTCCTCCTCCTCCTCCTCCTCCTCCTCCTCCCTCCTCCCCTCCTCCTCCCCCCCCCGCCCCTGCTGCCTGCCGTGTCGTCTCTTCGTCGTCGTTGCTCGTTTCTCTTGCCTCGGGGCACCCCGCGGCTGGTAAAAAAGAGTGCCCGAGTCCCTCGGTCCTCGATCCTCCTCCTCCCTCCCACCCTCCCTCCCTGGTACTATCGGGCGGGTGTGGGTCATGGGGCCCCTGTCGGCGACCAATAGGCGATTCGGGGTCGGTGCATCCCCCTGAGCCTATCCCCTCCTAGTGTTGCCCCTGACCTCCTGGGTCCTCCTCGTCCCCCCCCTGGGATCCCTCGATCCTCCTCCTCCCTGCCTCTCTGGCTCTCTCGACCCCCCAAGTTTCCTGGTACGCGCCTTCAACAACTTCAACAGCACAGCACAGACCGTTGCATAATGCGCAACCAAACCTATTATAACATTGCCAAAACATTTCATAGCAGAACACCATGAGCTATGACAGCACATATCATACAGAAAAGCGCATACCATCACACCACATAACAAATCATAACAATGCATAACATACCGCATCGTGACCGAACATGTCAGAGGATACTACACCGTGACCGAGCATAGCAGACCATATCACAGTATCACAGCAGATACCACTCCATTGCATGACGACGCAAGCATACTAGAACACACCAGCTCACACCATATCACATAATACTTACCATGCCAGCACATGCCATCGCATAACACAAAGTAGCAACGCATGCCATGGCAGAGAGGAACCCACATAACATAACAAGCCAACATACGCCATTGCTTCAGTTTGCATAACATACCCCAATATGACAGACCACAGCATAACGACACATGCCGTGGCATACCACATCATACCACAATACAACACCCCAGCACATCGCATTCCTTAACATTGTATGTAATGGTATACCAGTGCGGGGTATAGCATGCTATACCACAGCAGATCGTAGCATACTATGGCCTCAAAAACTATGCCACCGCAGATCATGCATCACACTTGGTGACATCGCACCTCGTCCGATCACATAACAGAGCATCACATACCACACCATGACAGAGCATGTCATACCATAGCGTAACATATCATAGCAAATCATCACACCGCATGACACTCTACACGATGACATGTAATAGCATGATAGAGCGCAGCATGTCATACCATAGCAACTCATTCCATTACATTAACACCATAACATAACAACTCATACTGCACCATGTGAAACCATAGCATAACATGACACATCACCATAACGCACATACAATGGCATACCATATAATACTTAGCATCGCAACACACACCACACAACATAACAATGCGCAATGCAACACATCTGAACATAAAACAACGTAACATAACATCACTGTTCCCACAATGGCATGACATACCAACACATACGACAAAACACCATGGCACGCCATTCCAACACATAGCAACATATACTAATCATCACCGCGACCTACCACACTATCACGTAGCAGCACATACCAAGGCAACGAACATCAAGCAACGACATATCAACATACAGTAACGCAGCCTCGAGCACACCGTAACATAACAATGCAGGCTGGCCAAGACAACTGGGCCCCGCGCGCGTCGTTCAAGGAGGTGCGCGCGCTGTCG